TGTCGTCGTCCCACCCACGACCCACCCGCGACCCACCTGCGTCCTAGCCCGCAACCCACTCGCGATCCAACCCGCGACACAACCCGCGACTCACCCCGCGACCCACCCGCGACCCACCCGCGACCCACCTGCGACTCACCCCGCGACCCACCCGCGACCCACCCCGCGACCCATCCGCGACCCATCCGAGACCCACCCCGCGACCCACCCCGGGACCCACCCGCGACCCACTCCGCGACCCACCCTCAAGGGAGGAAATACCACCCAGACCCGACAATTGACGTTTACTAAACAGCCTTGCCCTATTCGAGTCATTTTTTGTGTGTGTTTACTAAACGGCTTCGCTTGTCGGGGTGATTCTTATGAAATGAAGTTTCTGCCGTCTACACCCGCGACCCACCCGCGACCCAACAGCGACCGACCCGCGACCCACCGGCGACCCATTTGCGACCCACCCGCGACCCACTCGCGACCCACCCACAATGGTTTAACAAACAAATCGGCTCCCGCGGCGGGCTCGGTGTATAATTCGTGAAACTTTGGCGCCTGCGGCGGGCTTCTCCAGAGTCTCGCAAACTGCCGACGTCCCCACCGCCCCCTCACTATTATCCGCATCTGCGTGGTGCTACAGTATGTCTCTTCTTCTGCGCCACAGGGAGGGAGGGAGGCAAAGGTATCATGGATGCGGGGGCTCAGACCTTCAGCGCACAAAGCGGCACAAATGGAGCTGCTTCGCATGCTCCGGCGTCCGGGGCTCTCAGGTTTTAGGACAATTCAGGAGCGAGAGCGGGACGCACACGTACAAGAATCCACGGTGGTTTCGGGAGTATGCGTTGTGCGAACGTTGATGGCACGCGGTCGGTCTCGCGGATTGTGGGGCGTGTTCGTGTACATGGTTGGGCGCGTAGGTCCTTTCTGTCAGCCCCCGAACGGTCGACACACAATAGTAGCACAAGCTGTGTGGTGCGAGCGGGGTGCTGCAAACCCGCATCGCCTCGCCCTCGCTAACGTGCGACCCGCTGCAAACCGGCGTTGGCTTGTGGACAAGCGTTCGGGCAACATTCTCTCGAGCTTGTACTTGAGCGGGCAGGCCGCTCAATTAGTAAGGCCGAACGTGCCTACATTCTGGGCGCGCATCAAGGAACCGTATGCTTTTCGTCAGGGTATCCTGGGTTTCTTCGCTCCTCGCGCTGCGCGGTGACTACTTCCCGCAGCCGTGGAAGGAGCTGCTGCGTTCAGGGTGCTCCAGGTTTTCCCTCAGGTGCCCCTCGCGCACGGGTTCTCAGGGCTGGGTTTCTCGCGAGGGTTTCTTGCGGCCGCGCCCGCACTGTACGATGTCACAACTCGCTGGGGGGGGAACCATCTGGCACGTGCCCCTGGCAGGGGGGGGGGTCGGGGGTTGCGGCTGCGGGGGCCCTAGCCTCCACCGTGGGGCACGGCGGCTTGTGTTTTGGCTCCCCGGCCGTGAGCCTCGGGCCGTGCCTGGCGCCTCGGGGGCCTTCGATCGACCGCCTGCGGTGAGAAACGGGTTCGAGCGTGCTTCTGTTCACCCTCTGGGCCATAACGCGCGTCATGCCCCCCTCCCTCTCCCTCTCGCCTTCCCCCCCTCGCTCGCCGCCGAAACGTGTCAGGCGCCGGCCCATGGCCAGATATGCGGGAAGACACGACCGCCAACTCCCCCCCTCCCCAATCACGCAACTCTCCCCCCCTCGCCCCCAGCACTGCCGCAGCGCGTCGGGCAGCGCATTCTGGGGGGGGGGGGCTACCTTATGCCCCCTCCCGTCCTCCCCTCCTCCCTCCTCCTCCTTCTCCTCTTCCTCCTCCTCCTCCTCCTCCTCCTCCTCCTCCCTCCTCCCTCCTCCCTCCTCCCTCCTCCCCATCCTCCTCCTCCTCCTCCCTCCTCCCCCATCCTCCTCCTCCTCCCTCCTCCCCCCTCCTCCTCCTCGCCCTCCTCCTCCTCCTCCTCCTCCTCCTCCTCCTCCCCTCCTCCTCCTCTTCCCTCCTCCCTCCTCCTCCTCTTCCTCCTCCTCCTCCTCCTCCTCCTCCTCCTCCCTCCTCCTCCTCCTCCTCCTCCTCCCCTCCTCCTCCTCCCCTCCTCCTCCTCCCCTCCGCCTCCTCCTCCTCTTCCTCCTCCTCCTCCTCCTCCTCCTCCTCCTCCTCCTCCTCCTCTTCCTCCCCCCTTCCCATAACGGGGTCGGCAGCTTCAGGGGCCCATGTCTTGGGCAGCACTGCTGCTTCGCAGGCCTGGGGAGGGAGGAGAGGAGGTGAAGGAGGAGGGAGAGAGGAGCCAGAAGGGGGTGGGAATGGGGAGGGGGAGAGAGGGGTCGTCGTCGTCGTCGTCGTCGCCGCCGCCGCCGCCGTCGTCGTCGTCGTCGTCGTCGTCGTCGTCGTCGTCGTCGTCGTCGTCGTCGTCGTCGTCGTCGTCGTCGTCATCGTCGTCGTCGTGCTTCAGCGGGTGATGCTCGGTCTCGGGCGCCCCCCCCGGGAGCGGTCGGGGCTCCCTCGCGGCGGGGGCCACTCGGGAGCCCAGTAGGGGCTCCGAGAGGTTGCCGTTGGGGCTTCTTTTGCGGGCTCCTGGCGAGAAGGCAAGCATCATTGAGCAGTCTGGACTTTGGGGCACCTTTGGCGGGGGCGACCTCGAGCCATCCATGGCCGTATCGGGGCTTCGTGGAGCCTCGTTGGGGTTCATATTGGAACCGTTTCGGACCAGCTTGCGCGCTCTTGGAGATCCTCTCGGGGCAATCCGGAGCCACGCTTGGGCAGCCTACGGCCTGGGGAACACGCTGCAATTGCTCGCACAGCCCCTCCTGTCCAGGCCGCCAGGGAGAGGTCATGGGGAGGGGGTTCGAAGGGGAGCAAGGGGTTGCTCTGCCTACAGAGCGGGAGTCACGGCGAGCCTCCAGGGGGAAATTCACAGGCAGATCTGAAAATCAGTGAGTGTTCGGGGTTGCGGCTTCGACGAGAATCGGCACCAATCTTTTCAAATTTGTCTTTGGGCCAATGTTAGGGCTTCTGGGGGCACATGAGGCACGAGCTGCACGTGGGGTGTGCCGAATTCAGGCTCCGTTTACCATCTCGGAGGCCAGCAGAGCGCTTGCTGAGGTCGATGGGGCACGAAATGTGTGAGGGGTATTTCGACTTGGAGCTCTCTTGGTGCGGATCGTTCGTATCTGCGAGCGCGGATCCGCCATACGTCCCACGAGCCTGGGAGAGCACGTGCATCGAATGTGTGCGTGTCCCGGGAGACTAAGCGCGGGGATGCGCTCATGATGTCTGAGCGCCTCTGGAGGTCCACGGGAAATTAAGTGCGTGAGAGGTGTGCCAGTTTGAGGGTGTGTGCGCTGATTCCTCCATGACGTGGCCATCAACGATGCGGCTCGGTGTGGAGCCCATGTTTCCCCACGCTGGCGTCGCCGATGCATCGCCGATACATCGGCGAGGCATTGGCGATGCGGCGCGATCCTTCGACCCCGTTTACTCGGACCCCGTCTGGGAGGCGTCTCATCTCACTATCTTACATCTCACCATCGCTTCATCATCGACACTCGCCGTTCAACCCGGCGAGGGCCCGCATCGGGGCCCGCCGAGTCCATTCGCTTCGCTCCCTCCGCTGGCCCATACTCTATCGGAGGTTGATAGACCTCCTACCCTGACACGTCGATTAGTGAATTGGTCGTTTTCGGTTCGCGAGAGGGCGTCGCGGTTGTCATTTTTGCGGGTCCATGTCCGTCGGTTTCGGTCCTAGGCCGTTTTTTATTAAGGGGAGGTTTACTAAAGCGAGTTTTGTCCATCGCCGACTATCTTTTGGTATCGCTGGCACTTGCCTGGGTGCGCGCTGGGGCTGAGGAGGAGTGTGTGTTTGGCGGTCGTTTTCCTGACTTGCCGCGTGAACTTCGCATGGGAGAGAAACACTTCGTAGGGCAGTCTAGAGGTAGGACTGAACTCAAGACGCCCCCACCAACGGTCCGATAGTGAAGCCTCGGGGTTTCTTGGGGGCTGTTTTGATGTTCTTTTGCGGCCTCCTGTGGCCTCATGGGAGCCTCTTGAACACGTCTTCGAGCGTCTTGGAGCCTATGCGGGACACGTTGGGGGTCGGGATGAAAGGCTGCGCAAGCCCATTCGCTTTAACCTTCTTGGGCCCATCTTGAGGCCGTCTTGGGGCCCTCTTGGGCCGTCTTGGGGGCGTATCGTGGCCCTCTTGGGCCGTCTTTGGGGCCGCTTGGCCTGATAAGTTTGGGCATTCTAGGTGGCCCCATGAGCCGTCTTGGAGCGATGTAAGGCCCGAAAGGCGACAACGCTGAAATCTCCCAAACACCAAAGGAAAGTCAATAGATGTTGTGCCTCTCGGGGCCCTCTTAGGGGATCTCTTGGAGCCCTCTTGGGGCGTCTGTTGGGGCATCTTGGGCCGTGAAAGGGGAATGTTGAGCGTCTTGGGGCGCTTTTGGCCGTTTCAGAACACTCTTGGACTCTTTCTGGTTCCTCTTGGGGCCCTCTTGGCCCGTTTTGGGGCCGTGTGCTCTTGGGAGTCACCTGAGAGTTCCACCATCCCGTGGCGAACCTTGCTTGGAGTCTGCCGGGGTATGGGACCCCAGGGGCCGCCACGCGTGTGCGAACTAAGAAGTACAATTCTCTTTTGGCAAATTCTAGCACGCCTTGGGCCCGTCGGGCCAGAGACTTTTGGAGGAGCTGACCCGCTGAACCACCAACGCCCAGGTAGCTGGTGAGAGCTTGTACGGCAAGGGTCTTGCACGGACATCCCATGCATTTTGCATCCCCACCTTGCGCCGTGAACGGGGGTTCTGAGTGTAATTCGTGTGCGGGGCTCGGGTGGCACATGACTCTTTCACGGTTGCCCTTCGTAGAGTTACCGGACCCTCCACGCTTTGTCTTCCGTGCCCGATGCAGCAAGTCGTGGGATTGGTGGGATTCCTTGTGCTGCCCTTCTTACCCATCGAGCAGATATTAGATCCTGGGGTGGAGCCAACAAACGAATCCACAAGACGCTCGGCGACGCCGCGAAGAACGTGTGCAAGCCGAGCGACATCAAGAGCTGCAACACCAAGGGCAATGCCCTTCACAAGAAGAAGGCTGGCAGCCCAGAGAAGCCGGTAGGCCTGGGACCCAGCGTCGGTTGATCACGTGTTCGGCATTCGTTGATCATGGTTACCAGGCGATTTCCTAATCGCGACCACGGCTTCTAGCGCAGCAACTGGCAGCGTGATCGTAAGTAAGTTCGATCTGATGGCGCGATCTGATGGCGCGTTGACAGTTGAGGAACGACAGTCGCGGTCTGCACTTGCTGCCCCCAAAGAGCTAGGATAACGACCACCTTGGTCTGCGAGGGGCTCGGGGATCGTCGGGCCCTTCCTTCCAGTCGCCACGGCCGCACTCGGCGGACTAGTCAGGATGGACCCCAGGAGGGTGGGTCATTGGCGGGGCGCCGACGAGGACGGGGCGGATGCCTTCGTCGACGGCGTCGTCGGTCCGGAGGTTTGTGGGCCTCTCTGGGGCTCCTCGTCGCCACGGCTTGACTCGGCTTCGAAGACTGATCAGGATTGGCGCCAGGAAGGGGCCCATCTCGATCCGATTCCACACCGATCTCGGCAGGCTCGATCCGGTTCGATGCCGCGTGTTCGGCGACCCGATGCTGCACGGTGCTTGCATGGCGCTGCTGCGCATCCCAGCGCGGCCGACCCGATGTGCTCTCGACTTCGCGGGTGCAGCCCGATCCGATGCACACTCCTTACCAGCCTGGAAAATATGCCTATCCCTATGCTGGGCACCTCCTCATCACGATGCCAATCTTAGGGATTCCCTTATTTTTTGAGGGCGGATCCCTGAGATTGTCATCGCCTTTTGGCGTGTCAATCTTAGGGATAGGGATACGTTCGAGGCTGTTAAGATTCGCGGGGCAGCGGGCGAGGGGGGGGCTCCCTGGGACCCTGCTGCCTCCGCCTGGGCCTGCCGAGATGCCCCTGGATCCAGTCGAAGCCGCCCCCCCCTGCCACCTCAAAAGGCTACCCCCTGCCGACGTCGTGATGCGTGGTCCACGCAAGGTCGGTCTTTGATTTCAGAAATCCAGTTTTTGAATCCAACAGAACCAGCTTTTGAATTAAAGAATATTTTTTGGGGGCACTCAAAGAACCCATTGCTTGAATTTTAAAACCAACCAGCTGAGAAGGCTGCTCCCTCCCGACGTCTTGATTCGTGTTCCGTGCGAGGTCCTCCCAGATCCCGCCCCTCTCCCTGGGGTCAGCGTTCCTTCCCAAGTACGGTGTTGGCGCTGGTGAAAGAATGTGCCCAGGAGGCTCCAGACCCTGCGGGCTCCCTTATCCAATACGGGCGGGGGTGATATCCATGGCCAATCCACGATCGAAGTTGCACTGGCTTCGAGACCCTGGATTCCGTATCTACTGGTTCCTCATCCAATGCCCTTGGGCCTGGGCACCGTCGCAGCCGCCGCCGCCGCCGCATACCCCGCCTGCGGGGCTGGCCGCGGCACCCGCTCTGGGTGTGACCCGTCCCCTTGAGCGGCCTTCGCTCCCTGACCCCTCCTTCGGCCGCCCTCCCTCTCTTCCTCCCCTTTTCCCGCATCGTGGCACAATTCGCTTCAGCGGTATCCCCGTTTCCCGCCAGCGCAGTTACTTTGCGTAGCCGGCGACGTAAAAAGCTTGATGCTCGGACCCCAATGTTTATAAAAACCCACAATATATAAAATGATGGTTGTCCTTTCTCTTGGCTGGGTACTATTACGCGATCGGCCGACTGGATTCTGCGGCGGACATCGGTCGTCGCAATGCCTGCCGTGCCCGATCACGAACTGCCATGTGGTCGGGGGCGGGAACTGCGCGAGAGCGCCCGTCCAGCCATGTCGGCGACTCGCGAGGGCCCGGTTTGGTGGGGCCGGCTGGGCCGACCGACCCCCTTTCAAAGGGAGGTCAATTTGGAGGAGCGGGAGCTCGCAGTAGGCAGGTCAAGTCAGAAACTGGCTTGCCGCAGGTACCCCACAGAAGTTTACTTGATCCCCCCGATGGCCCTGCGGGCCCACAGAAGCATTAGGGCAGCTCAGAGTATGCAATTCGCACTTCGCTCGAACGGCATCCCCGTTTAGACATCCATCGCCAGCGCGGACGTCCCCTTCCTAGCCGCCGACGCAAGGAGTGATTCCCATCGCCAGAGCTCTGATCGTATGTGTCAGCTGTGCGAAACCTGTCGCGTGCTGCGCGCAGCTGGTTCGCTGGTTCGGCCCCGCCGCTGGGCACGTCCCTCGGTGCGCGGGCGCGCCTGGCGCTTCCAGGCGCGAGGGGAGCCAGCTGCACGCAGCTAATGCGCAAAACCCCTCCTCCTCCTCCTCCTCCTCCTCCTTCTCCTCCTCCCTCCTCCTCCTCCTCCTCTCACCCTCCTCCTCCTCTTCATCCTCCTCCTCCTCCTCCTCTTCCTCTTCCTCTTCCTCCTCCTCCTCCTCCTCCTCCTCCTCCTCCTCCTTCTCTCATCCTAAACCACGTGTGTGGTTAGCGACATGCTCCCACATGCTCCTCCTCCTCCTCCTCCTCCTCATCATCATCATCAGCATCATCATCATCATCATCATCATCATCATCATCACCATCATCATCATCATCATCATCATCATCATCATCATCATCATCATCCTAGTCCTATGCCTCCTCTTCCTCTCTCAGTCGTTCCCCCCCCCACACGAGCGCCTCCTCCAGGCCGGGAAGGCGCCCCATGGAGCGCAGACTGTGCAGGGCCTGTGCCGTCGTGGCGGTGTTCAGTGCTGGCGCGTGGTTCGTTCTTCCAGCTTCTGCATCCCAGGGCAGATCTGTTTTGGGCCTCGGGGCCATCAGTGGTCGAAGGACTAGAAGCTGGCACAAACACAGACTTTCGAGTTCCGCCCCGGATTTCCTGGGTCGCCGCTGGGCTCGGCGCCGACCCAAGGGATCCCAGTCGGACCCCCAGAAGTGTTGTGTTTGCGCCGCCTGCGTTTGTCCAGTGAGCGAGCCGCAACAAGAAACGAGCCCCCAGGGGAGCTCCGACGTTTCGCAATACGGTCGGCACACCAAATACGACCTTGGCCTGCCACTAGACGCACCACGAAGGTTCCTTATCTCCCAGTTGGCCCGCATAGCCCTTGAGCACCTTATCGAGCTCGGGATCGACGAAGATCTGCCCGTAGATTTCTCGGGCCGAACGAAAGGGGGGATCGGGAAAGGGGGGGTTACGAACTCTGCTACATGCAGCTGTTTTCGGCGCCGCCGCCCGGCCCATTCCTCGATACATGGGCGCTTCCCGGCTCCGGGAGGCGCTGGGAAAATCAGTTGCGTGAGCTGATTCTCTACCCTACCCCTTGCTATCCCCCCCTGTCGTTCCCCCCGACTTTCTTGCGGCAAGAGTTCCCATCGCGCGTGCTTGCTGTAGCCACGGCGGCGGAGGTCTGGGTGCTGCAGCATGCTCCCCCTCCTCCTCCTCCTCCTTCCCCTCCTCCTCCTCCTCCTCCTCCTGCTCCTCCTCCTCCTCCTCCTCCTCCTCCTTCTCCCCCCTTACCCCCCTGCCTCGCGCTGCGCTCGGCCGGGCCCACCTGGCGGGGGGTCGATGGGGCCACGCGGGCGTCCCAGGCCCAGAGATGTACGGGTCGATCCTCCTCTACACCTCGAACGCCATCTACAAGGACGCCGCGCGCCGCTCGCGCAGAGGGGCGAGGAGGGGGAGGGGAAGGAGCCGAGGGAGGAAAAACAGCACACGCCTCAGCCGTCGGAGGTCAACACGGATCTGCCCGTTCACCACCGCCTGCTCCTTCTGCTCCTCCTCCTCCTCCTCTCCCTTCTTCTCTGCGAGCATGAGGCTAGACAATTTGGCAGCACCTGGGTGTTCTAGGAGAGAGGATGGACCGCGAGCGGGGGATTTCTAGTCCTGCCCGCTGGTGCAGATTCACGAATGTTGCCCCTGCATCGCGCATGCATGAAGTTGTAGCTCGCAGAGCTCCAGCCCGCGCTGGGGAACCTCAATCCTCTCTTCTCGTCATCGCCCTCGTCCACCCTCCTTTGTCATCCTCCACCATCAATCCTCCACATATGTCATCCTCAGAGGATGTGGAGGATCCTTCACCTCAATACACCTCAATCCTCTCTTCTCGTCCACCCTCTTCTCGTCATCGCCCTCGTCCACCCTCCTCCACCAACAGTCCTCCACATCCTCCTCTGTCATCCTCAGCGTTTTCACCTACATCCCCTTCTCCGCATCCTCACTCTTCCCCCCGCCTCCCTGCCCTGTGCGCGTGCCCCCTGCCTCACTATCACTATCTGCGTCCTCCCCCCCCGTCTTCCTCCTCCTCCTCCTCCTTCTCCTCCTCCTCCTCCGTATGCTCGGCTTCCTCCCCCAGCATCCTCCCCTGATCATCCCCCGCGTCGCCCCCCTCGCCTCCTATCCTCCTCCTCCTCCTCCTCTTCTTCCTCCTCCTCCTCGTCCTCCTCCCTCTCCTCCTCTCCATCATCAACATCATAACCAGCATCATCCTCAGCATCAACAGCATCATCAACATCAACAACAACAACAGCAGCAACATCATCGTCATCATCAGCATCATCAGCATCGTCGTCTTCAGCATCAGCATCACCATCACCAGCTTCAACATTCCTACCATCATCATCAACGCCAGCATCCGCATTAGGAGTATCATAATCCTTGTCTTCATCATCATCAGCATCATCATTGTCGTAAGCAGCATCATCAATCTCATCATCAATAGCATCATCATCACCATCACCATCATGATCAGCAGCATCCTCATCCTCATCATAATCAGCAGCATCATCAGCATCGTCATCATCATCCTCGTCGTCTTCAACAACACCGTCACCATTATGATCAGCAGCATCCTCATCATCATCATCATCATCATCATCATCACCAGCATCGCCATCGTCATCGTCATCGTCATCAGCATCACCATCGGCCTGATCATCATCATCATCATCATCATCATCAGCATCATCATCACCACCATCATCATCGTCATCGTCATTGTCATCGTCGTGGTCATCGTCATCGTCATGGTCATCGTCATCTGCATCGGCATCGTCGTCGTCATCACCACCATCACATTCCCGCTGCTGCGTTTCCTCTCCCTTTGCGAAGGAGCTGAACAAGGCTCTGCGCGACGAGAAGCGTGAGCTGGTGCTGAAATACTACCCATACCTGCGCCTGCTGTTCGAGGCCCCCCCCCGACCGGCCAGCCGCGGAGGAGAGGCAGCACGCGCGGACCCCCCTCCATCGCAAGGAGAGGAGGGAGGGAGGAGGAGGAGGAGGAGGAGGAGGAGGCAAAGGGAGGAAAAGGAGGAAGATGATGAGGAGGAGAAGGAGGAGGGGGACGAGAGGAAGAGGGAGGAGGAGGACGAGAGGAAGAGGGAGGAGGGGGAGGAGGAAGGAGGGGAGGGAGGGAGGAGGAGGAGGAGGAGGGTGAGGAGGAGGGTAATGCGGATGAGAAGTAGGAGGAGGAGGAGGAGGAGGAGGAGGATGAGGATGAGGAGGATAAGGAGGAGGCGGAGGAGGCGGAGGAGGAGGAGGACGAGGAGGACGAGGGGGAGGAAGAAGACTACCACGAGGACCACACCAGGGTGTACTACATGGATGACGGCATCGACTGGGCCTCCAATTACTTTCCAGAAGTTGTGCGACCAGCCCCACATTTCGGGCGGGGCAAAGTACTACGTCGAGCTACTCAACGCGCCTTGCACAGTCCTCACGCACGACGAGTGCATTTCTGACGGTTGGCCGACTGCAGTGGCGCGTCACTTCAAGCGTGCTGCCGACGACGTACCTTCGGACGGCTGCTACGCTAAGCGGGCCAGAGCAGGTGACGCGGCGTGAAGGACATTACAAACTGGAAGTGAATACCACATGCTCCCAGCCGTCACGTCTTGCTGGAGCTTACTACCACAGCTTTTAGCAGATCCGATGTACATAACATATTGCTATGCCGTCTTAGTCTCGACTGAACAGGCGTGCACTACGCTGCTGGCAGTATACTCCGTCTACAGCAACACCACTGGCAGCCAGATCCTTTTGAGTGGCCCCGCCGCACTGCCCACCCCTCTCTTGTCACAGTGCTATTGGTATTGAGTGTATGGTCCCCCCTCCCTCCCTCCCCCCCCCTCTCGGCAAACCAGGCACATCGGAAACGATCCTCGACGGCGCCCAGTGGTCCCGCCATCGCGTGGCCGGGGAAGCGCTGTGCCAGGGCGGTCTGAAAGTCCCGCTCCCGCCTGTGCGCGGCCCGTGGTCTCTCTCCTCTCCGAGTCGGACTGGGCCGCGCTCGAGCTCTTGCCGTTCGCTGGGGCGTCTGCTTCTTTTCCCCCGCGGGGTGGGTGATTCCTGAGCCGATGGGAGTTTTCCCTGGCAGCGTTGGGGACCCCATTCCGTCGGCGCTTTTGTCGCGACTTCGTCGGGTAGTGTTGACGGTCAAGGATATCAGCAAGACATTGCCAGGCTTACAGCGACCACTCGGTTTCCGAAAACGCGCGCCAGGTAAAGGTCCATTGCGGACAGCTGCCCGATGACATCACCAGCATCACCATCAGAAACAGCGTCGCCATACACACCACAATTACCAACAATGATCACTGCGAACGTGCCATCACGATAATCACCTCCGGCATCACAGTTACCGCCACCCGTCACATCATCCTCCTTAACATCATCATTTTCATCATCATCATCATCATCATCATCATCATCATCATCATCATCATCATCATCATCATCATCATCGTCATCATCATCATCATCATCATCATCATCATCATCACCATTGTCACCATCATCATTGTAGCGTCAACATACTCCTCCTCCTCCTCCTCCTCCTCATCATCATCGTCATCATCATCATTGGCGTCGTCGTCGTCGTCACCTCCACCATCGTCGTCGCCATTGTGGCCGAAAACACTGCCATATTTATCAACGTCACCAGAATCGACATCATAAGCACCATCAATAGCGTCCAGTCAAGGCGCTGAAAGAAGAACCACTCTTGGTTCAGAAGGGGCTCTGATTTCTGGGCCGTTTCGCAGATTTGGGTCTGGGAACCTGTTCGTGACCGAGGCTCGCCGTGGCCAGAAAAGTGCACTGGTCTCTTATTTGGGCGTCCGACTGGCGGCGCCTTTACTGTATACAGTGCCATTGTACATGTCGCCATCAGCATCCACACCAAGATCACCGCCACCGAGCCGAGGCCATCACCACAACCACCGTCAAAATGTTGGAACGTGCATGGACATCGTTTTCAGCACCACCAGCACCACGTACATCATTGCCGCTTGCATATTTACACTTGTGAGCTTCATGCTAACCAACATCAGTACGTCTACATCTCTATCATGACCGCCATCGCCATCAACATCTCCGTAGACAACAGTACCACCATCAGCAGCGCCGTTGCCATCACAAATTGCATCGCAATTCGGAACGTCAACAATACTACCATCTTCAACTGTATACGCACCAGCGCCATTAACCGTGCCGCCCAAATCCCACAGCATCACCAACATAATCGTCATGATGAACATCACCCTCAACACCGCCATCGTACTGCACGCCACAGTTCCCGCTTATGAACCTAAGTTGCATCAACCTGATCGTTTCAGTCATTCACAGTCTTCACCATCAACATCACCATCATGAGGCGTCTCTATCAGACGCCTCTCAACGAAGTTTACTACCAAGCTCTCTCAAGCCTCTTGGAAGCCTCCCACTGAAGCTTTTCAGAAGCCTCCAGGACATGTTTTTCACACACCTCTCAGAAGTCATTCAGAAGCCTCTCGCATAAGCCTCTCGCAGACGCCTCTCCGAAGCCTCTCTGACGCCTCTCACAGCCTCGAAGAAGCTTCGCAGAAACTTCTTTCCTTTCAGGAGCCCCTCAGAAGCTCATCAGCAGCCCTCCATAATTTCCTCAGAAGTATAGTTCAGAAGCTCGCAGGAGCTATTCAGAAGCTCCTCTGAAGCTATCAGCAGTCTGCGACGCTGGACGAAAGACGCGAGTTTCCATGGAAGGTCCCAGTCGGGGGGAAAAACATTTCGTTCGCAAAACTTGATACTCGCCCCAATTGTCATTTGCTCCTCCATATGCTCCTCCATGGCGATCCTCATCCTCCGCCCTTTGCTCCTCCTTATATTCCCCTTCCTCCTACGTGCCTCCTGCCTTGCCCCTCTGTTCCACCTCCGCCCCCCCTTCTCAGGCATGACTCCTCCTGCATCCTGCTTCCGCGCTCGTCCCCCCGATTTGTTATTCCTGGGTCCTTCGATTTGTCCTTCTTCTTTTCCTCCTCCTCCTCCTGCCCATCCTGCCTCATACCTTCTCTTCCTCTTGCCTCTTCACCGTTCCTCCTCCTCCTCCTCCTCCTCCTCCTGCTCCTCCTCTTCCTTTTTCCTCTCCGTAGACGCTTTGGCTCAAGAGCAGCGCTCGCAGCCCGCACTGAAGTTGGCAAGCGGTCCACATAATGGGTTCATTCGATCGGTCGTTGCGCGCGATGGCTGTAACGAGCGCCACCACGTTGGGCCCGCTCGCCAAAGGGATGGGCAAGGCTGCGCACGGGGCGGCCAGAGGAGCCACGAGCGCGGGCTGCACGCGGCATGTGGTCGCGGCGGCGGCAGTGGCCGCCGCGATTCGCACGTGCGTGGTGGAGCTGGCGCTGCCAGCAGCTGCCTCGGGGGGGCGGGCAAGGCGAGTCCGCTCCCCGCCCTGTGGCGGTAGCCCCGCCGTGCTGAGGCCAGTGCGGGGCCAGCACGCTGGAGTCGGCGAGGCAGCGGCAAGAGGGACCCGGGACCCAGGTGCGCATGCGAAGCCGGGGGAGGGCGCTGCGGCCTTGGTGCTGCGGCATCGCGACAGCGTCGGCGGCCCCGCCGCGCGGCGTGCGCGCGTGGCGCGCGAGGCGAGACAGGCAGCTGACGGAGACGCTGGCGGCTGGAGGCCCCGCCTGGCGCGCTGCACGCGCCGCGGGCGCCGCGCGGGCCAGCAGCCCCGGCGACGGCCGCTCCAGCCTCGGGGGCCGCGGCGGTGGGGCGACGCTGTGCCCTGCGGGGGCCGCCAGAGCCTCGACCAGCGCCCCAGGGCGGCCGCCGCCCGCTGCGCGGCAGGAGCCAGCTGCCGCGGCGCGGGCGCCCGCGCGGGCGGAGGCTGCGGCGGCCCGGCAGGAGGCCTGCGCCGACTCCGCGCGGGCCGAAGAGCTCCCCGGCGACGGGGGGGGCGGCAAAAGCCGGGCGGCGGTGCACCGCCCACCGCGCTGCGGAGCGGCACGAGGGGACGCACGGGACGCCGCCCACCGCGCGGGCCGACGGCGCAGGCGGCCCGCGAGGTGGGGGGAGCGGGGCACGGGCAGCGTGGGCACCTCGCCCGGCGCCCTGCCAGATGCCCGCGCTGCGGGCTGCTCGCTGGGCCCCCCGCCACGGCTGCCGCACAGCGGGCCCCGTATACCGGGGTGGGCTCTCGCCCAGGGGCGCGGCAGGCCGACGGCAGAGGATGCCGCCTGCGGTGCTGCAGATCGCGCCCAGAGTGCGCCATTGGTGAGGGACGGCCTCGGGTCCCCGCCGATGGGGCGCGGGCGCTGCCCGCGCTGGCCGGGGCGAAAAAGTGAAGGAGGAGGAGGAGGGGGGGGGGAGAAGGAGGAGGAGAGGGGACGAGGAGGCAAGCAACGACGACTTACGGCGACGCGCGACGACGACAGAACTCTCCTATAAGTCAGTCCCTGGACCCAGCACAGACTCCGTCCTGGCCGGCCTTTCATGCGGGATCGGTTTTGGTGGCCTCGGGCCTCGAGGCGGGCTCCAAAGTGCCGAAAGGTGACAGAAACCTGCTCGAACCTCGATGACGACGACGACGACGACGACGACGACGACGACGACGACGACGACGACGACGACGACGACGAAACCGACGACGACGACGAGCGGCGCGCCCAGCGGTGGAGAGGCCTGCGACCGGTTCCCGCAGAGGAAGAAGACCCTGTGGCGCGGCGTCGGCGTGGACCTCTTCCCCCAGTACAAGGCCGGGCCAGCTCCGAGGGTAGCCTCCGAGGGTAGGGTCTCGGGGCGAACGTAATTCACGGGATGCGGCGCGAACGGGAGTCAGCCAACCCTCTCTGGCTCTCACCCTGGCTTTGGGCGCCACGTGGGGCGGACTCCCCCCTTTTCCGCCCTCCGCGGTGCCGTTTGGGAGCTGCTGAGCTAGCTACTGAGCTGCCGGCCAGGCTTCGCGACAGGGCCCTGGCCGACCCGGGTTTGTGTTGACCCGGGTTCGGGCGGAGGGTAACGGTGGGTCGGGGGCGGCAAAGGGGGGGTGATGACTTAGGGGGGGGTGGATGTCAGGGCGGGGGCCATGATATCTCCCCAGTTTTCATGGTGCCTCTTATTAACCCTGTGCCCCGGATAATAATATACCCCCCTACCCCCCTTAGGCCCCCCCTATTTGTTTAATCCCAGGTCTAGAGGATTCAATTGTGGAGAGGGGCGCGGAGGCCAAACTTGATAATCCCCGGGGAAGTTGCGAATCGAAGTTGCTATCATCTTATGTTGACTAGCAACAGCATAAAACACGCTGAGCATGGCCATGGTGGTCTCACCATTTCAGCTTCCGCAATCACGAGCGTGTGGCAGGGCTGTGGGATTCTCGCCAATCCGTTTTCCTCAGTTGTACCCACGAGCCTCGAGATCTCTCGAGTCAGTCTTGCGCCAAGATCTACAAGGTCAGTCTACGCGAGCGCCTAGGACCAACTAGCATCACCTTCCCAGGGAAAATCGTTGATTATCCCCGCCAGGCCCCCGAACTTTATTATCCCACGGAGATTATTATTGGGAGCACAGGGTTACTTCATTACGTCCCCGCCTTCCCCTTGGGCCGCGCACGTGCCGCTGGCCATGATTTGCGCCCCCCCCCCTCTTGAACGCCCCCCTCTTGGCCGCCCCCGAGTTGGGGGGGCGGGCGATACACGTGGGGGGATCAAGGACTGCAGGACCGTGTCTCTGAAGGGACCCTAATCGGCCCCTTAACGGCCACCACGGGCTACGGGCTCAACAGGTGTACAAAGTGTCAGCGTTTCTTCATGCCACGTTTATTTCTCCCCTAGTAGGTACAAGGCGGGTCCAGGTGCGACGATAGCCTCGGCCATGCGATAGTCGTTATGAAGGAGACTGGTCCTGAGTGAACCGGGCCTGCGGTTTTTCTAAGTTGTTGGATTCTCGTAGCCCTGAGCGGTCCCCACGAGCAAGGCCGAAGAGCTGGTCCTGGGGGAAGGTCCCAAGGTCCAGGACACGTTTGCTTCAGGACCTGGTTCCCACATGCCAACAGAGCGCGACATTTCGCTGGCGTGAACTTTGGTGCGGGCCTACCAGGGTCCCCCCGGGCAGTGGTTTACGCGCGTGGATCTGCCCCCCCCTCTCCCCGCGGTCCGCATAACGCAGCCCCAGGACGGCCCCGGGCAAACTCCAGTGGGGCGCCCGAGTCTCCAGACGAGTGCCCCGAGAGGCCAAAATCTGTGATCTCCCTTTGGTGTTCCACTGCCTTCGGGGTTCTCCACTTTTCGAGGTTCCGACAATCCAAGACGGCCCAAGAGGTCTTCAACGCCGCCTCAGGATGGGCCACGAGGCTCCTAGGAGGGCCCCGGGACGGCCTAACAGGGCTCCATGACGCCCCCAGGGGCGCCCCAGACGGCCCAAGAAGCCTTGAAGGCGGCCCAGAAATGGACGTCGGGGGGGGAGCATGAACCGACTTTTCGAGCTCTTCGCCCCAAGAGGCCCCCAGGAGGCCCCCATAAGGCCAAGAGGCGCCCCAAATCGCTCCAGAGGGCTCCGGACGGCCCCCCAAATGAGCTCGGACACACCCCACATGACGAGGCCCTCAGGGCCCCCAAAACGGCCCCTACCACGCCCATCGTTGCTCCAATGCGAGCTCAGGTAGAGGCGCACCAAGAAGGCTTCACCCTGATGCCCGAGAGAGGCTCCAGGGGCGAATGTCATTGATTTCCCTTGGGTTGCTCAACGAGTATCGTGTGGTCGCCGGTTCCGCTGCTCGACGCGCGGAGTTTTTCAAGAGGCGCCCATCAGGGCTCCAAGACACCCCAAGCGGGCGCCAAGACGGCCCACGAAGCGCCCAGAATCGCCCAAGCGGGCTCCAGGTGGCTCCCCAAACAAGCTTGGACACGCCACATGGGCCCTGCAGGAGGCCCGCAGAGCCCCAAAACGGCCCCAGCACGCCCACCATCGCTCGGATGCGGCCCACGAGGCATCCAAGACGGCCCAAAAGGGCTCTAAGTTGCTTTCCGAAACAGCCCCAATAGGCAAACATCATTCACGTCCCATGGTTTTTCAATGACGTTCGCGTGGTCGCCTGTTCCGCTTCCCGACGCTCGGAGATGGCACAGGAGGCGTACAGGTGGGCCCCAACGTGCCCCAAGGCTGCGCCAAACGGGCCCAAGAGGCGCCCAAGATGGCCCACGAGGGCTCAAGGCGGCTCTCCAGATAAATCTGGACACGCCAAGATGGCCGTACAGAAAGCCCGCAGGGTTCTAGAACGGCCGCACCACGCCCATCAAAGCTTCCATGCTACCTACGAGGCATTCAAGACGCCCCAAGGAGTCTCCTAACTGCCCTCTGGGAGAGCCGCAATGCGGAGAAAAATCATGATTCTCTGTCGTCTCGAATGCTTTGTATTCAGTCGTCTGCTCCGCTTCCTGACGCGCGGGGACGGCCCACACGCGGTATCCATGAAAGAGCCCCCGCACACTGCAAGAAGGCTTACATGGAGCCTCGACACTGCAAAGGGGTTCTACACGCGGCCGAGGAGCCCCAAAAGGCTTCCCAAATGAGCCTCGACGCCCCGAAACGGCCCTTCAGAGGCCCCCACGATGGCATCCACACGGCAGCAACCATCAGGTTCTGAAGAGCCTTCTGGGAACGTGATTCTCGCCGCCCCTCATCGGAGCAGGCGGCTCTCTAGTATTTCCAATGAGCCCCGGCTCAAAGAGGCCTCCACGAGGGCTCCCACACGGGCGCCCCTTTTTAGCTTCCCAGAGAGCCTTCCGGGAGCCTCATTGTCGCCGCCCGTCATTGGAGCATGAAGTTCTTTAGCCTCTCCTTCTGTTGCCCTCAAGAGAGCCCTCCAAATGAATTAGATGTGCAGCCAGTTCGAGGAAGGCACGGCGAGGAGGAGGGTACCTGGCAAGTCTTATCGTCTGGTATCCTGGGGTCTCTCTTCTGGCATCGTGGGCTTCATATCTCTGAACTGCGGTTTAAGTGTACATACATATATATATATACATACATCGAGAAAGAGAGAGAGAGAGAGAGAGATAATATGAGAAAGAAAAACAGACCGAGGGAGAGAGAGAGAGAGAGAGAGAGAAAGAGAGAGAGAGAGAGAGAGAGCGAGAGGTAGACGACCCTCAAATCTCGAAAGCCCCAGATCCCCGACAAAATGTAACTGTAACCTACTCCTACTCCTCCCTCTTTTTCGTGCAAGCGAACGGAAGAGGGCAGCCTGGAGCCAAGAGGGGACGAAGGCGCTTGCCCGCGCGAGGTGGGTTCCACGATCATCTGGTGGGGAGTCTCCAGCTGCACCTCGGACGAGAGCGTCGCCAGGAGCTCCTTTTCCTTTGATTTGGGGGCAGAATGGGGAGGGGGAGGTGAGCCACGGCATGCTCGCATCATGGAGACATCGAGGCGGCAGGCTTCTGGCCCCTTTCGGCCTCTTGGGGCCCCCCGCTGGGCCCCGGGGCCGCGGCAGAAGCCCGGGATGAAAATTAGGGTAACGAAGCATGACATCACCAAAACTCGGAAGCCCGCGCGGAGTTCTCAGATCCGCCCTGGACCCCAGCAGCCGCGCCTCCGGCGCCGCCCCTGGCGCGCTCCTCGCGCGCGCTCCTCGCGCGCGCGCTCCGCGCGTCAGGGAGGGGGGTCCCGCGCGGATCCGAGAAATCCGCGCGGACCTCCGAGTTTTTATGTTGATGCCACTCTTCGTTGCCATATTTTCACCCCGAGCTTCTGCCGCGGCCCTGGGGCCCCGCGAGGACCCCAAGAGGCCGAAAGGGGCCAAAAGCCTGCCGTCTCGACTGGTTGTGTCATTCTTCGCTCCCTCAGACAAGCCACCTCCTGGGGAAAGGGTCGGGGTCCCCGGGCGCCCCGCACGGAAGCAGTCCCGTCGACACCGCAGATGTCTGGGAGTGGGAGCGTCGGCTCTCCACCCCTCGCCCCTGGGGGGCGGCAAAGCCCAACGCGACGAAACCACCAGGATCTTAGTTGTGCGATGTGAAGAATCGCACCACGAGCCACAACCTGAAGATCTACAACCATAACCTGGTTTTGAACTTGCGAGGCTAATTTAAGAGAAGGCAAACATAACTGAACTGCGTATTTAGGGGAACAAGAAGTGACATAGACATAAAAACTCTGAGGTCCGGGCGGATTTCTAGGAGCGGCGCTGGACCCCCCTCCCTGGCGCGCGGAGCGTGCCAGGGGCGGCGCCGGAGGCGCCAGGGGAGCCCCAGCGCCGATCCGAGAAATCCGCGCGGACCTCGAAGGTGTTGCCTCGAGAACTTGTCGGGAGCACTTTCGCATCATGCTTGCATTGGTGGAGCGCGGCGAGCTGGATGCACAGACGGGTGCTTCGACTGGCATGACGGCTTGCGAGAGCCAGGCACATGAGATGGCGTTTTTGCCCGGATCAGCGAGAGCGGGAGGCAGCTCAATGTTTGACAGTTGATGTTGTATTCCATGGCATGCGACCTTCCCCCACGGAGAAAGTTTTGATTTGGGCAGGACGCTATTGTCTGAGGTCGGGCTATCGAGAGCAAGAATTGAGGAACGGTTTGATCGTGATCAATAGTTTAGCACAAACGGTCCTATTCTTAATGTAAGTTTGGCCGCAGGCCAGCTACGAACTAATTCGACGAGGGTGGTGATCCACCAAGAGGGCAGTGCAGAGGGACCGCTCGATGCGTTCGCACTGCGCCAGTCTGGCAGGAATTTTATGGCTGGATGCGGCGACGGTGCCACTCTGCTTACTGTGGAGACGGAGACCGCAACCGACATTGCAGAGCTGAGCTTCTTCGCCAACGAGGCTGCCGCAGGGGGGGATGCAGGGTCCAGGGGAATTCCTGAGCGTTGATTGACGAACCAACATCGGATGCATTTGACGGCGTGCTCGCTCGCTTTTTCAACGAGGGCCCGCCATGCGCAAAAAACGGGTTACCCAGGGCCCGTCTGTGGATAATCCCGATATGAGGTTGGCGACACAATCTGTAGTGTTGTTGATGATCTGGTGTCCCGTCGTTTTCTGGCGCTTGCGCTCGCTGCCCGGCCACTCCCCGCGGACTTTGGCAGCCTCGCCCCTTCTTCACCCAGCCCCTCTCGGCGACAAAAGTGGCACACAGGAGGTATACCTGATATTCTGGATGTCCGGAAATCTGTGTCGCATTTGTGGAGTCCCCGCGGAGGCGTTTTGGTTCGCTTGGGCGTTTCCGAGTTTCTGATGCATGGTACTGGTGTGTGTAAGGTGTTACGTTTCGATGCAGGGCCTCGCCGCTTCTCTTCCTTTCAATTCCATGATCGATCCCCTGCCGTCGTCGCTGGTTTCCTCTTCTCGTTCCAGTCCCCTTGTCCCCCCCGCACCCCCACTTTTCACTCCTCGTCCTCCGCCTCCTCCTCCTCCTTCTCCTCCCCTCCTCCTCCTTCTCCTCCTCCTCCTCCTCCTCCTCCACCTCCTTCTCCTTCTCCTCCTCCTCCTCTTCCTCACGCCTCACTCCTCCTCATTAAGGGGGCAGTGAGAAAGGAGGAAGGAGGGCGAGGAGGAGGAAGGAAAGGGGGAGGGCGGGGAGGGGGGAGGAGGAGGAGGAGGAGGAGGAGGAGGAGGAGGAGGAGGAGGAGGAGGAGGAGGAGGAGGAGAGGAGGAGGAGGAGGAGGAGGAGGAGGAGGTGAGGAGGAGGAGGAGGAGGAGAAGGAGGAGGACGAAGGACGAGGACGAGGACGAGGACGAGGACGAGGAGGAGGAGGAGGAGGAGGAAGAGGAGGAGGAGGAGGAGGAGGAGGGGGAGGAATGAGGAATGAGGATTGAGGAGTCAGGAGGAGGACGAGGAGAAGGAGGGGGCGGAGGCGGAGGCGGAGGAGAAGGAGGGGGAGGAGGAGGAGGGGAGGAGGAGGAGGAGGAGGAGGAGGAGGAGGAGGAGGAGGAGTAGGGTGAGGAGGAGGAGGAGGAGGAGGAGGAGGAGGGGAGGCATCAGGAGTGAGGATCGAGGAGTGAGGAGTCAGGAGGAGGACGAGGAGAAGGAGGAGGCGGAGGCGGAGGAGAAGGAGGAGGAGGAGGAGGAGGCGGAGGTGGAGGCGGTGGAGGAGGAATGAGGAGTCCGTCCGCCGTCCGCCGTTCTCCGTAGGAGGCGGGAGGAAGACGGAGGACGGCGGATGAACTCCTCAGTTCTCGCTCCTCACTCCTCACTCCTCCGCATCCTCCGCCCTCTCCTGCGCCCGACACCCTTCTACCCGCTCCCCTGATGTGGAGGAGAATGAGGAGGATGAGCTGGACAAGGAGAAGGAATCGAAGGAGGAAGAGAAGGAAGAGTAGGAGGAGGAGAAGGAGGAGGAGGAGATAGGAGATAGGAGATAGGATGAGGAGGAGGAGGAGGAGGAGGAGGAGGAGGAGGAGGAGGAGGCGGGGGAGGAGGAGGAGGAGGACGAGGAGGAGGAGGAGGAGGGGGGAGGAGGGGGGGGGAGGAGGAGGAGGAGGAGGGGGAGGCAAAGAGGGAGGAGGAGGAGGAGTAGGAGGAGTAGGAGGAGGAGGAGGAGGAGGAGAAGGAGGAGGAGGAGGGGGAGGAGGAGGGGGAGGAGGAGTCAAAGGTTGGGGGGCGGGGGGTAAAGGGTGGAACCAGAAGAGAGGGGACGTTGGCGCAGTGGAGCGTTGGAGTGAGTAAGTATTAGCATTTCTGATGGGTTTTAATATACTTTTGCTTCCGTTGCAGTCCTGGGTGTTTCGTTTTTTTGTGAAGGTGTTGGTTTGTCCTTGAGTTATGCCAGTTTCCTACCGCCCACAGGGGCATCCGAAACCAGCGGAACTCGCACGGGGCGGACTTCGCACGCGCGAAATGTTCACAGCGGAGCTCGCATGCACGGAGCTCGCACGCGCACAGCTCGCACGCATGGAACTCGTACGGACGGAATTCGCACGACGGAGTTCGCACAATCGAATGCGCAGGTCATGCGCCCATCGACGCTCCGTCTCGCGGCGGAACTCGCACGCGTGCGAGCTCTTCCGTGCGAGCTCGTCCGGCGAGTTCCGCTCCGTGCGAGTCTCGTCTGCGCGAGTTCCGCCTCGTGCGTGCGAGTTCGTTCCGTGCGAATTCCGTTCTCGCGAGTTCCGCTTCGTGCGAGTTCTTCCGTGCCACTTCCGCTGGTGCGAGTTCCGCTGTGGCAGCAGAACTCGCTCGAACCTGGGCCCACAAGCGGAACTCGTATGGGTCCAGGTGTGGCAGTGGAAAATTGCACATGTATATATGGCCTAAGGCTCAAGTGGCCCTACTGCCTACAGCAGCGGTATGATCCAGAGCTTCTTTGGTATGGAGCACAGCGGCCAGCGATGCGTATGCTGCCACCAGCCGTATGGCCACCGGGACCCGATCAACCATGTGTGGGGGTCTTGCGAGGACTGTTGAAGGTTGTTGCCTGGGTTTGACGGGTTCAAGGTTGTTGGCTCAAGGATCAAAGATCAAGGCGCAGCTCAGCATAGCACCCCGTGCGCAGCTAGCACAGCCGGTAAGCATCCATGGCGGCGGTTCCCAGCGCCTGGCCGATCCGACACGAGAGGCGACAAGCTGCAGTGGCGCGCGACGTGGGTAAGATCGACCCCAGGTTGACGGAGGTAGAGATGGCGATCAAGCGCCTAACGGACAAGCCGGATGCAATTCCTGGCAGACTCGACGTCGACAAGAGCACGAAGGACGAGCAACATACAGGGCTAGATGACGTCTGCGCGCTGGCCACCGACACTGATGTGAGAATCGGGCGGATTGAGATGCTCTTGTTCAAACGCTTTGCTGCCCGACCTCGCCATGCCGGACAAGAAGACCGCTTCCATGATGAGTTTAAAGCCCGCAGCCAGCGGAGCTTCCGCCAATTCCAGAGTTCCCGGACTTGCCCGCGAACGTCTCCGACGGCGACGCCAAGGAGGAGAAGAAGGAGGACGAGCAGGAGAGTTCTGAGGACAAGAACGTGGATACGGAGGCCGCGAGCCATCACACAGAGGAGGTGGAGGAGGACGACGAGGAGGACAAGAAGGAGAGCCAGGCCGCACCGGAGATGGACGACAACCCGCCGTTCTGGCATCGTCGAGACACTGATGAGAAGCGACGGCTACGTGAAGCAGCCCGCCTCCGAGCCGAACAGCGTCACTGGTGAACCAGAAGCGACCACTGAAGAGCATCCGCCAGAAAAAGAAAGAGCGGAAGAGGGTCCAGAACACCATCGAGAAGCGAACGAATGAGCGGCGCCCCGGCGCCACCTCCCAGCCCCTCGCGCGGCCGCCCGTTTGGGCGAACTGGGAACCCGTCCACGCGCATGTGCAACTGCTGTAGCTGCGACGCCCACGGCTCATGCAACTGTTTCAAGTCACCTGAGCGCTGTGGTCAGCAGGGCGATGCGTGCGCCGGCGGCGCGGGGTGCAAGTGCGACGACCGCGGCAGCTGCGCGCACACGCAGCGCTGTGGCTCCAGCGGGTACCCGTGCTACTGCGGACAGGAGTGCAGCTGTGACGCCCACGGATCTTGCAAGTGCATCGGCAGGCCAACCTTGGCACTCGGTCGCTTCGGCTCTGGCGCTAACCTGACGCAGTCCAGCCGTTGCGGCAAACACGGCGAGGTGTTCGCCGACGGCACGCGGTGCAAGTGCGACAGCCACGGCAGCTGCGCGTGCTTTCAGCGCTGCGACGCCCACGGCTCGTGCAACTGTGTCGACAAGTCATCGTGCTCCGCAGACCAACAGTGTCCTCTCGCGCGCACGGCCTACAACATTCGCGACGTGGAGAAGTTCTGTTATAGTGGGACGTATCACCAGGACCTTTCGTGCCTCGACCAGACTGGCGGCTGTGCCGTGTGCCGTGGACCCTGTCTTTCCTGCCTCGCAGGAGAGGCGCGTTGGCCGCGTTTAAAAAACGCCCCAGGTTCAGTTCCAGGGCGCCGCGCCAATGGTGACCGGCGCCCTGGCACACCTGCAACTTGTTTGATCCGTGGGTCGAGAGCGCACCTCTTCCGGTCGAAGCTAAGCGGGGCGCGCACAGCTTTAATTGACAAGTCACACCTGCAACGGCCAGGTGCCGTACAGGGTCGGACGGGAACGCATAAGAAGTTTTACAGTTTCTTGTTAGACTGCGCGGGCTCTCTGAGGTGAACAGGCAGCCCTCCTCCCTGGCGCGCGGGCCCGCCCTGCGCCTCCACTCCGCGGCTGCGGGGCCGCGACGCATGGTCCAGATCGCCTTCCAGGGTTGCCCTTCGCACGCTTGTTTTCTGGTGCGCGGAGCCCGCCCGACGCCTCCACTCCGCGGCTGCGGGGCCGTCCGCCCTGGGATAGCCCACTGCACGTCGTTTGTTTTGGTTTTTGTTTGCATGCCTTGCCTTCGCGTCAGATCTTGCGCCGACCGATCCTCCGCGCCTGCGGCACCAGTGTGGCGCCGGCGAGTTGCGTCTTCCAGTTGCGGTGCGTTGCGCGCCGGGGTCTCTTCCATTCCCTCCCTCCTTCCCCCTTCCTCCTCTCCGTGTCTCCTCTTATCATTAACCATGTTATTGCTAGTCATCGCCGCCACGGTCGTGCGCTTTCGGTCTCACGGCGTTCGGGCCTCGCGTTTTCGGGTTGTTTGTCCGATCCGTCGCTGGTCCCCGGCTCTCTTCCACGCTTCGCGCTGCGCCGTACCGAGTTGGTGCGGGGCGGCTCGTGGCGAGCCTCGGTTTGCGCCCGCCGCGCCCGCCCTGCCAAGTGCCTCCTTTCTCTCCTCCTCGCTTTGCCCCTTCTTCCCGCCAGCAGCACGCTCGCTCCGTTTTTTTCGGGCCACGCCTCACTGCATATGAACTTGCACGTCGCAGGTCGGTTCCTGTGGTGCTCCCGGTGGTTTACCCGTCTACTTTTTTTGACTCGCGCAGCGGTCGAGGCCGAGTCCGGTGGAGTTCTGTGGTCGCGATCCTCTTTTTCTTCCTCCTCCGCAGGAGCAGCACATTTTTGTAGATGTGCGTGTGCACGCGTGCGTTCTTGAATACACGACACACGACAGCACCCCTGGCACGTCTCTCGTCTTTCTGTCCCCGTCACCCGTCCTAATCAGAGTCGTCGCGTGGCAAGGCAATCTGGGGCGGAAAACACGTAAGTCCATGAGACTCGTCGCACGGCAACGCATGCGGTGCGGAAACAAATCATGCCTACTGGGTTCGTCGCGTTGCAACGCAATGGTGCAGGGGTCGTCGTCCTCCTCGTACGCCTTCATCCCCGTCCTCCTTGTCGCCCCCCTCGTTATGTTCGCTGTTTGTCTCTCGCCATCACAGTCACACACACACTATATATATATATATATATACATATGTATATGTAGACTTGAGGGAGCTCAATGGATTTTTGTGTATACACACATATATGTATGTATATGTATATATATATATATATATATATATATATATATATATTCGTATATACGTATATGGATTTATGTATGTATGGATGTATGTATGTATGTATGTATGTATGCATGCATGCAGGTATGTATGCAGGTATGTATGTATGTATGTATGCATGTATGTATGTATGTATGCATGTATGTATGTATGTGCGTACGTACGTACGTAATGTATGGATGTATGTGTGTATGTTTGTATGTATGTATGCATGTATGTATGTATGTATGTATGTATGTATGTATGTATGTATGTATGTATGTATGTATGTCTGTCTGTATGTATGTATGTATGTATGTATGTATGTATGTATGTGTGTGTTATTATTGTCATGCCTGTCTCTCCATCACTCTCTGTCTCTCTACCTTTCACTGTCTCCCTGAATTGCCTTCCTGCCCGCCGCTGTCCCTCCCACGCCCTTCCCTCCTGCCCCCCGTCCTTCCGGCATCCTGCGCGCACCAGTGCTCCCCCTGCTCACTGCTCACTGCCCCCCTCCTCCCCGAGACTGCGGAAGCATCCCGGGATCCCCAACCATCGCAGAATTCCTGTAGAAGCCTAGGAAGCTTCAGAGCGTAAATTACGTACTCTCCCCCGCTTTCGCTTCCAGGCAAAACCAAGTCATACCACGCGCCTCCTCGTCAAGCGGCCTGACCAGTACAGGCCGTAGTTTGGCATCGCTTGATATCTCTTGGAAGCGAGGGTGGTCAAAAGCGAGGTAGGTTTGTTTGCCCCCCAAAGCTTGCAGTCGGAGCAAGCGTCCGGCGACGGACTGTCGAAGCCGCACGTCTTGCACCCGCTGGCCTCGTCGACCTGTGGCGTGGCAGCGCCTGGGGCATCAGAGAGGCACACGTCACAGCTCGGCTCGGCCATGCGGGAGCGCCCCGTGGGGCGGAGCACGAGTGCCGCTCCGCTGCGCTCGTCGCGCGGCAGCGCCCGCGGGAGGGCGTCGCGAGGCAGCGCCGCGGGGGCCGAAGGAATCGGGCACCTCCTCCTCCTCCTCCTCCTCCTCCTCCTCCCTCCTCCCTCCTCCCTCCTCCCTCCTCCCTCCTCCCTCCTCCCTCCTCCCTCCTCCCTCCTCCCTCCTCCACGGAGCTCACCGCGGGACATCGCCAGATGGGGCGAGGAGGTCGGATTCCCCTGGGATTCGTCACGTGGCAAGCCGCGGGGCGGAGCAAGTACCAGGCCGCTCCTGCTCGCCACGCGGCAACGCCCGTGAGGCGAAGTGGCAGTACCCACATGCTCGCCGCGTGGCAACGCCACGGAGGCGAAGCGAGGCGTGGGCCACGAGGGCGACGTGGGGACCGAAAGACATGGAATTCAACTCTACTCGCCAAGTGGGAACGCCCAGGACGGCGAACAACCACTTTCCAGTCTAGGCTCGAGAGGGCGAACAAAAACATGATTCCACTCTACTCGTCACGAGGCAACGGGCCGAAGATACACGACTCCACTGAACTAGCCCCGTGGCAACACGTGAGGGGCGAAACAAAGGGATTCCATGGTTATTCGTCACGTGGGAGCGCCGCGAGGGCCGAAACGAATACTACTGCACTCGACGTCCCCTTCGGCCGGCAGAGGCAGGGAGCAGCTGGGCATGTGAGGAGGCTCTTTAAGCAGCCCGTCGCTGGTACGTCCCCCTGCCCGTGACGCCCTGAACAAATCATGCAGCGGAACTCGCACGGGCGGATTTCGCGCGGACCGAACTCGCGCGGATCGGAATTCGCACAGACGGAATGCGCACCGCGGAATTCGCGCAGACGTAACTCGCAGGCGCAGAACCCGCACGCGGCGGAATTGGCACGGGCACAATACACACGAACGCAATTCTCACGAGTGGAGCTCGCACACGGCAGAGCATTGAGCGTGGTTGACGCACATGCGTGTGAGTTCCGCCTTGTGCGAGTTCCGCTCGTGCGAATCCCGTCCGTGCGAGTTCGCTTCGTGCGAGTTCCGTCCTTGCGAGTTCCGCCGCGTGCGAGGTCCGTCCGTGCGAGTTTCGCCTCGTGCCAGTTCCGCCTCGTGCGATTTCCCCGCGCGCGCAAGTTCCGCGCGTGCGAGTTCCGTATGGTCTCTTGGAGGGGGCCTGGGACGTCTTGGAGGCTTCTTGGACGGTCTTGGGGCTATCGTGGGCGTTTTCGGCTGATCTTTGGGCGACTCGGGGCCCTCTTGGGCCGTCTCGGGGGCCATCTTGGCCATTCGGACGACCTCATTTGGAGCGTTTTCGAGGTTTCTAGGTCGCCCCCGGGAAAACGAATCTGCCCCCCACCCCCCCCCACCCACCCCGGGACCCCCCCCCCCCGGGACCCCCCCTCCCCCCTGGGGAAGGGATCGAAGGGAAGGGGCTTCCCTTCGACTCGATTACGACACTGCTAGATTTTTCTCTCGCTCACGAGCTTGAGAAGGAAGCTGCAGGGAAAGGGCACGACGGAGGCGACGACCGACGGAGACGACGACTCGAACAGCCAAGCCCCTCGCACACGCCGACAGGGTCAGGGTCGGCGGATTTGCGAGTTCCGTATTTGCGAGCTCCACAGGGAAGCGATTTCCAAACCTTGAACAAAAGGAGTCGATGTGTAATACAACCCAAAGGAGAAGAAGGGG